GGTAGAGTCATAATCCTCTGAATATGCCCTCCATTTATAGTATGTACATCTTTTATGTTCATAGTTGTTTGCATTTTGTATCCCCAATGTCAATGTGAGTTCCTTGAAGGTAGGAACCATATATTTGTCTTTTTTATATCCCCAGTACGTAGTACAGTGTCTGACATATATTAATATTTAAAAATGATTGTTGACTGATTGACTAGATGCTTCCTCCAAGTGCTTTGTAAAAAGCAAGGGTGGAGAAAGTGGCAGGTGGGTGAGCATGGCAATGGGAAAGGCTAGAAAGACAGTGGTGCCATGTGAGAGTGGTGCAGAACTCTGGAGGTAGTGGTATCATGTGGTAGGGACTGATGGAAGACCATGGCACATGGAAATTATGGATTAGACAAGTGCTACAGAGAGAAAGTATAGTTCCTCACACCCTGCCTATACCTTTAGCCCAGCCCTAGTTCCCCTGTCCTGGTTATTCTTCTGCCCTGGGATTACGGGTGAACTTGTCAATAAATAACTTGTCAATAAAATTTATAGTCTCATTTGGACCACAGTTATGATGTGAGACCCTCTTGTGATCCCACTTCTATTGCTACATGGACAGAATTGGTAGTTCATTTAGGGGATTGTTTTCTTATAAAATCCTAGTGACATTTTATTTCTGGACTTTTGGCCCCAAGAACACGAAATGTAGTGACTACTCTTTGTTAGGGTATGTCTCAAACAGCAGACATCACTTCTCTCCATATGGCTAGTCATGGGTATTTATTTCTATGTATGTTGATCCTATAGAGATCCATAATTTCATCAGTACAGATACAAAACCTTTGGAGGGACCAGGGTGTTATATGACCATGTTAACTTAGAGTTTATAAGGAGAGAAAGAAAACATTTTAAGCAACAAGTTTATACGGTGAACCAGTATTTCCCTTGGTTGCCATATTTCTCTGCTTGACAAAGAGCTCAAGTATTTGTTGATAGAAGCAATTTCTAAGTTCTTTTGGTCACAATGTGGCAACTTGTTTGCATTAGTTGGGCTTTGATAGGAAACAGAGAGCAGGCTGTGATGATAAATAACAAATTCTTTTTTTCTATTTCCCATTTTCCAACATCAATACTTTGCTTAAGGTTATCAAGTTAGATTAGAGTTGTTTTAGCTGTATGCCATAGCTTCTTATTTTGATTCTTCAGTCTAAGTTGGTATTGATTTTGATTTTGTTCTAAGAAGTTGGCAGCTGATCTCTTTGGTAGATGTTTTATAAAAATATGGGTTAATCAATGAAGTTCACTATGTATTAACATTGGTCTCTTTAGATAATTCCATCTTTTTTCCTATTTGGAATTATCTTTGTTTATATAATTAAAATTTTATCCTTAAGATTTTCCCATATCTCTTAACCTAATTTTCAGTTTAGAATTTCATGCCATAGTACCCTGTCTACTTTCTTCTGAACTCTTGCAAATATAGGAGGCCTGCCAGACTGTGTTTAGGTTTCCCTTCCTTTGATTCTTTGATGAGTTTATTATCTCATCACTGGGAGCCATTCTTAGGATGTCTGTCCAATATTTTTGGGAGGGCCCTTCCTCTAAATAAGGAGATAGTGAGTTTCTTGTCGTTGGAGGTTGTAAAGCAAATGCTGGATGACTATTTGGTAGAGATATAGAATATAATATGGCAGCCAAAAAAGCTAATGTGATTTTGAGCTATGTTATTAGAAGTATAATACCCATAATACATGAACTGTGTACTCAGATCATAACTGGAATATTTTTTATAGTATTAGGTACCTAACTTTAGAAATGACAATAACAGCCTGGGATCTGGCTGCTACAGTGGAAAAATATACTTGATTCGAATTCAGAGTACCCAGCTTCATATCCTGGCTTTGCTACTTACTCCCTGTGTGCCCTTAGAAAACTAACTTCACTTCTATAGGCTTCAGTTTTCTCATCTGTAAAATGAGAATATTCAATTTAATACTTTTCTAGGGTTCCTTCCAGGTCTGGATTTATAGTCATGTTAGAGTGATCAGAATGGTGACCACAGTTGAAACCATGTAGTATGAGCATATGCTAAAGAAGCCATTGAATTTTGTCTTGGAAAAGAGAAGACAAGACTTGGGTCAGAGGAAGTTTAACTGCAGTTTTCAAATATTTGAAGGACTATGACAGTTATCCCTTCCACATTGCGGGGGTAAGGGTTAACTGTAACCCGGTGTAGCCCCGGTGATCTGGAAAATTCAAGCGAAATGTAGTAGCCTTTGTGTTTCATCTGCTGGGTTTTGCATTCTTTTCACAAACTTTTTTTTTTTTTAGGCAATTGGGGTTAAGTGACTTCCCCAGGGTCACACAGCTAGCAAGTGTCAAGTGTTTGGTCTGAGGTCAGATTTGAACTCAGGTCCTCCTGACTGCAGGGCTGGTGCTCTATCCACTGCGCAACCTAGCTACCCCATTCTTTTCATAAACTTTAACAGTTCACTTGTTTTAACTCTAAGAAAGAAATTGTGTATATTTATGGTATTAAAAGATAAAATATGTTGATACTATATAAAACTATATATACATTTTATGCATTTCTTAGTTGCTAAGCTTTTTCTGTGTCATCCGCTGGCCCTCATGTATTGTCTGTGGCTTCTGCAAAACTCCCCCAAAATTCCTGTTTACTTTCTTATACCAACCCATGATATATCAAAACTGCATTGGGGTAAGTCGTAAAGTGGAGGGGATAATTGTATACGCATGAAGAATTAGCTTTGTCATACTTGACTTCAGAAGATTGATGTAAATTGCAAAGAGGAAGACTTTTTACTCAATATGTTGGATAGGTACTTAATGACTAGAGTTATTCAAAATGGAAGTCCCATATCTTATATATTCTTCAAACTTCAAGACAGGGTGACTACTTGTTGGAGATATTGTAAAGAAAACTCATGTTTTGGGTACAGCCAGACTAAATAATCTCTGAATTACATTCAAACTTTTTGATAATATAATTTTTAAAAGCTCATCATTGCTAGTCTAAAAATGTTTCATAGAACATTTTGCACTTTATGTTCTCCATCAATCTAAGCTTTTAAATTCAGGGAACTTCTGATGTTGGCAATTGGCAGATAACATTCTATAAACTGCACATGCAGATTTCTTCTTGAAAACAAGAGTAGGTATTTATCAAATATATAGGCCAGAACATGTATTTATAATTTGAGGGACATCTATCTCCCTACACAAACAAAATACTAAGATACTAAATAACTTTTTTGCATTCAGAATTTTAATGCTAACACAAAATCCCAATTATCCATTCATATGAAAATGAGCATATGAAAGAGATGAGATGGATGGGAATTATACTTTTTCAAGTTCCCCAATAGATTTTTGTCTAACTTGGGAACAAGCAGCTTAGAGAATATTTAGCCACAACGACTGAGCAAATAGTCTGCTATAGCAGCTCAGGAAATATTGACCATGAGTGTCTGTTGAAGGAGTCATGACATTTTATCCTGGGGGAGAGAAGACTTGGGATGGCTATTGATTAGAGATGTTGTAGAGTAATGTGGCAGCTAGAAAAGCTAATGGAATTTTGGGTTTCATTGATAGAAACATAATGCCCATAATAGATGAGGTGATAGTCCCCCTGTACTCTGACATACTGACTACACCTTGAATATTATTTATTGCACTAGGTGCCACACTTTAGAAAAGACAATGATAGGTTAGAATGTTGCTGGTACAAGGAAAAGTATTTTTCCTTGGGAAAAAAACCCTTCCTCTGTTCTCTACTTCTTTCTTCCCTACAGGGATCTCCTTTCTCTGGATTAATAGGATGTGGATTCCTTGTCATTGGGTTTCTCATGGTAAGGGCTTTATGTCCAGTTACTGGAGATGTTGAGTGGGAAATGATATCCACCAAATTTAATGCCATTTTCGACTGAGTTAATAGAAGTATAATATCCACAAGGAAGGAGGTGATAATCCCATTGTATTTTGCCATCATCAGAATACAACTGGTGTGTTTCTAGATCTAGGTGCCAAGCTTTACAAAGAACATTAATAAGACAAAGTCATTCTCCTCCTGTCCAGTGCTCCTACTATTTCCAGCCTGGTTATACTCTTTTGGGATATCAAAGAGTATTTTTCTCCCAACCGATTTTGTTTCAACAAACGTTTCTGTCTCAACAATTCCTTCCTCTGTCTTATGATTTTATTGAGGGATGTCAAGGAGAGAAATAGAGAAGACAAGGATGGATAGTATGGGTCTTCCATTTCTTTTACTCTTCTTATCATTAGATGCTAAATATTTTTCATTTCTTTTTTTATTTCTAAATCTTCCTTAAGGAATTGAGGGATAAGTACTTGCTTTTATTCTTTCTGGCCTCTAATTCATCAGGTTTGGAATAATATTGTTAATTTAAAGGGATAAGGGTAAGAGGAACCAGAGAAACCTTCTTCTTCCTCAAAATTTCCCCCTGCCTTTGGCAAGCCACTTCTCTAGTTTAATCACACTACCAGGGATCCCTATCTTGAGAACTTTGCTCTGATGCTAACCCAATGTGTGTCTTGCCACTCACCTGAAGTGCAAGATATTAATCAATTACAATTAGCAAACGGATTGCTAACATTTCTCTCTGGATAACTGCCTTTAGCTAAAAAAAAAAAAATAGCTGGCACTTATATATTGCTTTAATGTTTGCAAGGCTCTTTATAAATCTTAACTAATTTTATTCTCATGACAGCCCTGGGAGGTAGATGCTGTTATTATCCTCATTTTACAGATGAAGAAAGAGCTAGACATCTGAATTTCTACATTCAAGTGATAGATGATTTTTTCCACACATTAATTTTGGATAAGTAATTATTAATTTGATCATTCAAACCCAAAATTTTGAAGAGAGAGTTTAAATACCTATCCACAATATGATTCTAAATGCTAACAGTTTTTAAAGAAAATTTAACCATTAGCAAATACATATTTTCAGGTGTAAGTCATTACACTATATCATGTAGACTCAGTGAAATGGTTTTTGACTTAAAATATTCTTTACAGCTGCCTTAACATCCTTGTTCCTCAAACTATAAATGATGGGACTGAGCATGGGAGTCACCACACTATAGAACAGTGTGATAAATTTGTCTTTGATGTCACTATCTGCTCTAACAGAGCCCTTAGATCTGGGTTTTGCATACATGAAGAAGATTGTTCCATAGAATATAATCACCACAGTCAGATGGGCTGAGCAGGTGGAAAAGGCTTTGCGTCTCCCTTTTGTAGAAGGAATCCTGAGGATTGCAACAAGTATGAAAATGTAGGAGATGGAAATTGATATCAGAGGAATAACTAGAAAGATGAAGTTTGATCCTGCCATGCTAAGCACATTGATGGAAATGTCTCCACAGGCCAATTTCAGGACAGCCGGGATCTCACAAATAAAATGATCAATGACGTCCATGCAAAATGTTAACTGAACTACAAGAGATGTTTGGACTATTGAGTCAAGAACCCCTGCTGCCCAGGATACAGATGCCATTGACACATAAGTACCCTTGTTCATGATGACAGGATATCTCAGGGGCTTGCAGATGGCCACGTAACGGTCAAATGCCATCACGCTCAGGAGTGCACATTCAGTTGCACCCGTGGCAAAGGATAGAAACATTTGCACTGCACAGCTGGAGAAGGAAATGGCTTTCCTTGGAGTGAGGAAGCTGTCCAGAGTTAGGGGCACAGTAGAAGTCGTGTAGCAAATGTCCAGGAAGGAGAGATTACCTAGAAAGAAGTACATGGGTGTGTGGAGGTGGGAGTCGTAAATGGTTACTATGATCAGTACTCCATTGCCCCCCAGGATTACCAGGTACATCCACAGGACCAGCACAAAGAAAATGGTCTCTAGCTTTGGATAGTCAGAAAGTCCCAGGAGGACAAATTCTATCACAGCAGTTTGGTTGGTTCCTTCCATTTTAAAGTTCTCTTTTACTTCTGTGAGGACAACAGAACATAGTTTTGTTGTGACAGTGCCAGGAAGTACTTACCTTTTCCCAAGATTACATCTCCAGTAAACTGTTAGTCTTTTTTGAATATGGGAATATATTACAATTTAAGAAACCAAGATCTATTTTCCAGTGGTTGAAGAATATGAAAAATAATTTTTCCAATAGAATTGTGATTATTAACAACCATATTGAACAGTGCACCAGATCATTATTTATATGAAAAAGGCAAATCAAAACAACTTTGAGGTTTCATAGCATATCCGACTAACCGGCAAAAATGTTAAATGATGGGGGTATTCATTGCTTGAGGGGAAGAGGGAAGGTAGGGTAGTAGAGTTTCATATTGGTCTAATCTGTCTGGAAAGTAATTTGGAATTATACTAAAAAAGTGAACCAAAACTCTTTGACCTGGAGTTTCCATTACACTCCCAAGGAGGTTGTAGAGAGAAAGAAAGGATTCATATGCACCTAAATATCCACAGCAGACTTTCTGCAAAAGCAAAGAACTGAAAAGCATCTACCTGTGAATTTCATTGTTGTTCAGTAGTGTCTGACTCTTCATGACCCCGTTTTGGGGTTTTCTTCACAAAGATACCATACTTATTTGCATTGTCTTCTCCAGCTCATTTTACAGATGAGGCAAATGGGGTTAAGTGGCTTGCCCAGGGTCACACAGCTAGTAAGTGTCTGAGGCCAGATTTGAACTCAGGAAGATAAAAGTCTTCTTGATTTCAGGTCCAGTACTCTATCCACTGAGCCATCTAGCTGCCCTACTTGTGGATTAGGGAATGGTTAAACACATAGTGGTATATAAATATAATAAAATGTTACGACAGACTAACAAATGATCAATATGATAATTTCAGAGAGGTATGAGATATGTGAACTGATGCAAAGAGAAATAACAATTGGTAAAAGAATATGCACAATGAATACTACAATGCAAATACAAGGAACCACAGTCTTCAAAAGAAGCTTAATGCTTTGTATTTATAGTGTCCTTGCTTAGCCAGTGAAAGAGATAGAAAAGCACAACTGTCTCCCTTCTTTGCAGAAGTGGGACATCGTGGGTGTGGAACATTGGATTAACACATACACTTTCAAACTCATTTTATTTGTTGGGTAGTTTCACCGACCTGCTTTTTCTTCTTTTTCTTTTAAAATCCTTGTTATAAGGGATAGTTCACTGAACAGAGGATAGTAAAGGAATATATTAAGAAAAGAAAGCGACATAAAACCAAATGATATTAAGAAGATAAAAATTTTTTAAATACTGTAGCACAAAACATGTTTGTTTCCTTGTAATGATAACCAGCATCAGAAGATCCCCTTAGAAATCCTAGAACAGAGATTTCAGATCTAAGACAATACCTTATTATTAGAGGGCCAGATTAAAGCTCACACATAATTGGGTTGAAGTAATGATTCACATGTGTATTTGATTATTATTTTGGATGTAACTTCATTAATGAAGCTCAGACACTAAGCAATTCAGGGCAAATAGATCCTTTAGTAAAGAGAGCCTAGATTTTGGAGGCAGATAAGATCTGGATTCAAATTATGGCTGTGAGACCATGGGAAAAATCAAATTCACTTCTTTGGATCCTATTTTTCTCATTTGTAAAGTGTAAAGTTTGGTTCAATAATCTCCAAGTCATATTCTAAGTCATATGATTTACGATTATAAAGTATGTGAAAGTGTCAGCCAAAGAAACTTGTTGATTGTCATGAAGATTCAGACCAAATTATGTCTCACACATTGAGAACAAAAGAGACTATTTCTATGTATAGGAGATCATATAACCATTGGTATTTGCATCAATCATAGAATCTTAGTCTTTCTTCCTCAGTTATTGAAACAGAATAAGATCCATGCCTGTCTCTGCAGGATACATAGTGGTCCCAAGGTTTGATTGGCTTTAGAGAGACATGACACAGAGTTCTGGCTCTGCCAAGTACTATGGTCAAGACCTAGACTGGATTCAATTGCTTTTGCTTCTCTGAACTTCAGCTTCACACACTTGGGGATAAAACTTGCTGTAAGGTTAAAAGGGATCATGGTTGTATATACTTTATAAGGGGTAAAGTCCTATGTAAGTAGAAGTGATTATGGCCAAGGTCTTCAGTTTATGTATTGAATAAGGATCTATCACGGGATTAACCTTTATAAGTAACACTTGTTTTTATTAGCTTCTTCTGTGCAAAATTCTGTGGAAAATTGAGGTACATTTGGAAGCTATTAGTAGATTTTCCAAAGGAGAATAACTCAAAATATCATGAATATTGGGCAGGTGGCTGGCACAGTAGATAGAGTGCAAGGCCTGGAGTCAGGAAGACCTGAGTTCAAATTTGGCTTCAGACACTTACCAGCTATGTGACTCTGTGAAAGTCACTCATCCCTCAATTTCCTCAATTGCCTCAATTTCCTCATCTATAAAATGAGCTAGAGAAAGAAATACCAAACCACTCCAGTATCTTTGCCAAGAAAACTCCAAATAGTATCACAAAGAGTTGGACATGATTGAAACAACTGAAAAATAAAAATCACTAACATTTGTGAAACAAGGCACCATTTTTGATAATTGCGATCTCACTAATTCATTGTAGCTAAATAATTGTTGTGACCATAAATATTTTGTGACAATAAATATTAAATGCACTCTTAAAAATACGTAGCAGAAGGAGACTTGATACCAGGAATATTCTGGCTCAACAACTCAAATAATGTATATCCTCTCTATTTCTAAATATTTAAAATTGAATAACAGGGATGTCCATTTACCTCTAAGTCTGAGAAATAGTGTCCTCCTTGCTCAGAAAGAAGTTTCTGTCTGACTTGCAGTGGCTCTGATATTCAGAGTCAGAAAAATCCTTCCCCCAGCATACGGAATGATGATCACCATGATGTGGACAGATACATGTGACAGTTATTTTTGTCAAGTTTAGCTGACAGAGCATTTATCAGAAAGTTGAAAAGGGGCTGCAGAGGAAGCCATGGGAAATTTTCATATTTTCAGCATCCTGAATTTTCTGTTTTCATTTTCTGTTAGTCAATGAAATAAAGAAATGTCAGTGTGGCAACACGTGAGTACCAGACACAGAACAGAGCCCTTGATCAATACAGATCTCTAATAGAACTGAGCTAATTTCCTAGAAAAACAAAACTTTCGAGTCCAGTTCTTTATAGCATTTCTGTCTATTTCAAGTTCCAGATCCACTCTCCAAAATATCAACTATTGGAACCAAAGGTAATTTAAATCCCTTGCTGCTTTAAGGGAAAGTTCTAATCCCTGAGGCAATTTAAAGTTTATAGAAAGGGAAAGGTAGGGAATTTCGCAGACCCAATTAGAGCAAAGTTACTACTTTGTTTTAATTGAAGTTGAACTTGTGTAATAAGAAACTATTTCTGTGTCTATGGAGTCATTTCAAAGTGGAAGCATTGTCCCCTGACCTCTGGGTGAGAGCCAGAGATAGCACATTGGGACTTTGTCTTAGATGAGGATGCTGACACAGGGATGGGAGCATTTTCTCCTTCTGGGAGATTAAATATTAGACTGATCTACTCGCTCATTTGACCCCTGGGGTCATCAGGTGTTGTGATCAACTAGCCCTATTCTTGGCCCAACTTCTGACTTTGGCTTATTATCCCTGACATTGGGCATACTGGATCAGCATGGGCTGCGGGTGAGGGGCAGGGTGGTCAGGAAGGATCTACTGTTGAGGCAGTATGTAACGATAGCTGTTTCTCCCCTCCCAATAATATATTCAGCCCTGGGCCTCCTCTTCATCTCTCATTCTCTGCCTTCCTTTTCCATTGTGCTCTCTGGAATTCTCCTCTACGTAACAAGAAAGGCAGCATGATGTGACAGAGAGTATTAGATTTAGAGTTAGAAGAATCAGACAGGGGCGGCTAGGGGGCACAGTGGATAAAGCACCAGCCCTGGAGTCAGGAGGACCTGAATTCAAACCCAGCCTCAGACTCTTACTAACTGTGTGACCGTGGGCAAGTCATTTAACCCCAGTTGCCAGAAGAATCAGAGGACTTTCAATCAAATCCTGGTGCTATTGCTTAGAACTTGTGTGAGCAATCATTTAGACATCTGTGGGTCTCAGCTTCCTT